TGTGTGCCGCAATGATGCCAGAAGTGTTAATTTTCTGCATGGGAAAGTGTCCTACCGTGGTGGACAAAATAAGGCAGCCCTTCCCAGAAACCTTCTGCAAAGGATTGCAGAGTACCTCCGTTAAAGCTTCCTAGAGATCTCAAGGGAGGATTCCCAGGCCATCCCCGGGCACATAAACAGCCTTTGCCGAAGAACACCATCTGTGTAGCTGCAGTGGCCGCTGATAACTTCTATCTCAATTGTTTAATTCAGGTTTAAAAATAATAGCATGTAACCCCTACAGTCTGATTGGAAATTACCTGATTACCTAGGGAGGTGGTAGAATCTCCTTCCTTAGAGGTTACCTAGGGAGGTGGTAGAATCTCCTTCCTTAGAGGTTTTTAAGGTCAGGCTTGACAAAGCCCTGGCTGGGATGATTTAACTGGGAATTGGTCCTGCTTCGAGCAGGGGGTTGGACTAGATGACCTTCTGGGGTCCCTTCCAACCCTGATATTCTATGATTCTATGAAATGTGTACTCGCCAGAGGTGCCTTCCCCGGCATCACGCTCTGCCGACAATTGGTCCTGTGAGGGGATGCGTTCCAGAGTTAAAAAAAGTTCTTAGTAACTCAGGTCTGAAATACCTTTGTCCCCCCAAAATTGTAACATTCCTGAAGTACATGGAGTTAATGGCATCAATAAACCATGCCATTAGTTACTAGCAAACACTGAAGTTATCAACAAGACATTACAGAATTTGACTTATGATGAAAACATTCTTTTCTCATTTCTTCTCAGCTCGTGCAGCCTCCGTGAGACATTTCTTCAATTATTTGAAAAGTTAAGGCAGTCTAAGCATTTCTTAGACTAATGCATGTAAGTAGATGAACATACATTTCCTTTTTTAAAAAAGAAGTTAGCTCTTTGAATTCATAAATGAATTATGCATGGATTTGCAATGGGGTTTTTCAAATACAGTTATAGTTGAGACTGACCTTTATACTCCATTCTCCATAATTATTTGAAAATTAAAGCTTTCCCTTTTTTCACACCATACTTTTCAAAATATGTATTAGTTTTCCAACAAGGCCAGTAAAATCACCAAAGTACTTTAGAATATATTCAAATGATGTAACAAGCTGATGTACAGCCTGCACAAACTTATTTTTCTTTTCATACTGCAAGTAAAATCTCTGCTCCCAAGTTGAAAGCTTTGCAGGACACATTTTAGGTTGGTGTTCCATACAGGGCCAGCTCTAGGTATTTTGCCACCCCAAGCAAAAATTTTTTTGCCCTCCCTCCCCTTTTTTTGTGTGTGTGGCTTTTACACATTTGCACTTTGCAGTGTTTTAGTTTTGTTTTTTGACTGTTTAAAATTAAAAAAAATGAAAACAGAGAATTTGTAGTTGGTGAAATAAAACAATTTCCTAGTAGTGTACTCATTTAATTTTAACAAAATCACAAACAATTTGGGTTCAACTATACACTATAATGAAAAACGTTAGTGTCTTCCGGTGCACTCAGTTTCTCATAAATTAAAAGAAATTTATATGACCTGAAGGTTTCTGGTTTTTATACTTGCGTAGTCTTAATAATTCAGTGAAATCTAATTTTTTTGCAAGGGTACTTTCAATTGAAATTAATGCGAGTCCTGACAAACTATTTTGAGACACGGTGGACCTCAAATAATTTTTCAGTAATTTCAGTTCTGAGAAACTGCGCTCACCAGAAGCCACTGATACTGGTAATGTTAAAAGAATGCATAATGCTATAGCAGTGTTTGGAGTGAGGTGCTCGGGGCTGTACATCCCACCCGTGGGCCCCCAGCCCAATCTCAGACCCAGTCCCACACCCGCAGAGGGGACAGTAACTGAGAGTGGCTGCGGGGAGGGGGGCGGACCAGGGGTGCCCGCCCAGCACCAAGCCACCCAGGACAGCGGGTCCCTTACTGGCTGCGGGTCCTGCCCCGATCCCAGGCTCCGCTCGGCTCCGGTTCCTCCGCCACTTGTGACATGTGCAGGTAGGATGGGCAGGGGGAAAGAAGCCACATCACCCCACTCCCCTGGTGGCAGGGGGGCAGGGCAGGGACCTCCCCTGGGCTGGACCCCCACACTGAGCCTGCTGCCCCGCCCCACGCAGGGGCTCATTGGTTCACTGAGCGAGACGGGGGAAAAAAAAACAAACAAAGGATGTCCGGAACGCTGCCCCTGGAAACATGCTGCCCCAAGCATGTGCTTGCTTTGCTGGTGCCTAGAACCGGTCCTGGTGACATACGTGTTTTACTTGACGATTTTATTAATGGCTGCAAAAGATTGAAAACCATGAATGAGCGAGGATGGCTCATTAGTCTTTCAACTCTTGAGATCCAACTTTAAATTCTGCCTTAGGTCACAATTGAAGGTTTTTGTTTTCCTTCCTCTTCCCTCACATCATAAAGCCATCATGCAATTTGGTACAAATGGCTGTCACTACTTAAGACAGACCTAACACTGGAACAATATTGGGGTATCATAGTCAAGATTAAATTGGAGAGCTGTTTCTAGAGAAACTTGTACAGCACCTCTTTGCACTCTCCATGGCTCCAGCAAGTTGTAGGAATCCCTTACTTTTACAAGTTATCGAGTCACTCACAAAAGTGCTTGCCTAGAAGACTACTTGGAAGTTCAACTAGACCAGAATGCAGCTGTCTGCATGATTGGTAGCATAAATGGCTCAAACTGCACTGGTTCTCTATTTGCTTTCGGTAGCAATTCCAGGTGCTGATCTATGCAGTCCTCCATAGCTTGGGTCCTGGCTTTAGAGGAGTCTGTCTCTCTCCCTATGTGCCACCACAGGTGGTGTGGTCTGCTGGAGCTCTCAAGCTATCAGACCCTGGTGTTCAACAGGAAGCCGAGGCCTGGGCACTCTGAGTGGGTAGATCCTCATCTCTGGAACAAAAGCTTTCAGATCAGTGTAAGGCTCAGCCCCTTTCTCAGGCTTTTGCCTGAATGTGTAGTAAGTATACAGTTTAGTGGATACTCTTCCCATGTTGACATTGGCCAACAAGTTATGTAAAATGGCTTAATATCTTTCAGGGCTTCAACTATTACAGGGCTTAATCTCAACTTTGCTAGACATCATGGACTGAATACACAGAATGTTGTAATTAGCCATAAATCCAATCTAAAAACCACTTAACTCTGCCGGCTCACCATGACTGGAGAGGTGATAACGGGCCACTTCACCTTGAATGATTCCTTGAAATATGTCCTAACTACTTTATGCTAAACAATCTGTTCCACCTTCTTTTTAGTTGTGACACTCCAAGTACATTTTCCAGACCTGAAGAAGAGCTCTGTGTAAACTTGAAAGCGTCTCTCTCTCAGCAACAGAAGTTAGTCCAATAAAAGGTATTACCTCACCCATCTTGTCTCACGGGGTACTTCAGAAATTTGAAAAAAAATAAGTGTATAGTGAATAAAGCCAAGAACTTTGATGACTCTAATTGTAGTTTTATAATACTTTCGTAATTGTAGTATTTTGCCATCACCATCACACTTCGTGGTGCACCTACACACAATACTACTGTTGAATCCACCAATTTAGGCTTCATTTTGTGGCTTTTGAAAGTAAAGATCCCACGCGCCTCAAGAAATTTGACCTCCCTATTAGAAGGCAATAAAGATACAGACACACTGTCAAAACTCCTAGCAACCTGTGTTGGCTTGAGCCACAACCCCTAGCAAAACAGGTTAAAAAAAAAATCCTTGAACTTTTCAGATATTCCAATGGACCAAACTACCATCTGATAAATGTAAGATAAAAGACACAGGAAATTCTCCACTGCGGAATAGAAGAATCAACAAAACATTGAGCAGCCATCTCTGAGACCATTGTTTAAACACAAATGAGATTCTAAATGAGAAGCATGGCAATCTCAAAACAATTCCTAATTTATAACAATCCAGCAGTTTATAATCTTAAATGACTGTTTTCTTTGATGCACACATGTAAGTCAAATTAGCATTAATAGAAGTTACGCGGACACACCAAGAGAAAAAAATATATACTTATTTTAACTCATCCTCTACAAATGAATGGCTATATTTTTTTGTCAGTCAGCATTTATAGAACATTTCTGCATAATATTATTAAAAGATGCGGTAAATGAAACTTTAGAAACAACAGCTGGAGGGTGCTATAATTAGACTGTAATCTGTTCCAGGATCGCTCTCATTCATTCCAGTAATACAGCACTCTCTGCAAGACAATGCAGAGCTCAAACACACTAACTATATAATGAAGTGATACCATGACATGTGGCTAGCGCAGCTCAAGTGTGTGAAACATAATGCATCAACACAACTACATGATAAGTTGGGTTGCAGTAAGTGTATTTCATACTTCCATTTCCAACGGAAAAGCTAGCACTACAGATGCAGAGGAACAGTGAGTAGAGAACTTTAGTCTCAAGAGTATGGCTCAACAGCTCTTGTAAACAATAAGAAGTCTGTGCTGGAGGAGCTGATGGGGGTGGGAGTATTTAGCTGTAAACGTATGTAAGAAATATATGAATGATGCATGATTTTAAACTAAAAAAATAAGCTTTTACTAAGAGCATGGATATTCTTCAGTATGACCTAGCTAATATGGAAGCTCTTTATGTAGTGAAACAATTGTTTTAGTTTTTCTTCTAACAAGAAATAAGTGTGTATGTTGGGGGTGGCGGAGGAAAATTTGGGTGCACAATATCAACTTACCTTTTTCTGACTGATCATCCAAAATTTCTGATTACCTAATACACACCCTAAAGCAATATAATTGGTTATCAATGTCACTGACGTCACTGAGCACCGCAAACAATTACTTTTATTAAGAAACAATTTGAAGCTCTCTTCCTAGTGGATGCAGGGCAACACTCCCATAGTTGCTATTAAAATCATATCTGTTCTTATTTTGAGCATGTTGCTGACAAAATATTGGTTTCTCCTGGGAACTGCTGTAAAGTTGTAAGCGTTGTTTCAAGAGGACACACATTTCCATTCACAAGATAAATCATTTAATTAGTAATAATTATCTATGCACAGAATAACAATGGAGTTATGGTAGGAAGTTTTCCAACTGAATGTTTACACTAACATGGTTTTAACTGGCTTTTGGTGGACATTGAGTATCTTATCTATAATGTACAATTTACATTTTATTTTCCCATACTGAAAAGAAAACTGACAATTTCACATCTGAATTTCAAACATATTTAAATGCTGTTATGGATTACAGAATAGGGGGCATAAAACTGTGAAGCCACCTGCACTGGAGAATTATAAATTCACATTTGTAAAAACCCCAACTTTACTAACCGTAGCAAATTAAACAATAACTAAAAAGACATTTATATATTTATCTTTATATTCTCTGTTCAGACAGTTTCTCCCTGGGAATAAAAAAATAGCTCTAAACATCTTGATTTTAGATTTGTTAGGCTGATACTTGCTTTAAGAAGCAGTCATTTTAAACAATTAGAATATGGATCTCAAACAAGTATACATTTATTGAAATAATTAACACAATTGAAGAGGTATAAGTTCTTCTAGAGACAAAAAAATAGATTTAAGTGGCATTATTTAGTCCAGACTTTTTCACTCCAACATGGCAAGCTTTGGTTTTATAGTTGTCGTGGACTGATTTAATTTTTACCAGTGACCTGCTCCCGGTCCACAAGACTTCCAAACATTATGTAAACATGCTGTTTTGGAACAGGGATGTATCAGTTCTGCTACCCCCAATGTTAACAGGATCTACAGCTGTTCACACAGCCATGAGAAGATTTCAAAATGAACTGATTTTTCCCATCAAAGACTGTAAATTAGGGATTTTAACAGGACATCCTCTGCCCCAAAACTTGGCACACCTCTCTGTATTTGTTCAAGTCCTCCTAAGCTCTGATTCTTCAGGTCAGCAAGTACTCTAAAATGCCTGTTTAGAATAGCCTATGTAAATGCATGACACATGAACACACAAATCCAATCCTAACAAATTCAGAACCATAGTTTTACATCTCTAATAAACACGAAGATCAATAAGTGAAGTGCTACTACTCCTTTGACATTCCTGCTCACAAGGCAAGACATAATATTCATTTTGATCTCACATCTGTTTGATGGAGTAACGCAGAGCTGTAGCAGTGGAAAAACCAAGTCCATTTGTAACCCTCCAGCTTTCCAACAAGTATCTGTTTCTAAGTAAATTCTCTTCTCCTTTAGGTATAGGAAAATATATAGGACATGGGGGGAAAAAAAAAAAATCTCACTTATCACGAAGATCAGTTTAGAAGCCTTCCCAATCTCCTACATTCCCCACCCTTGCCAAAACTGACGGCGGTGATGTGCAGTTTAGCAATAGCCACACCTCTGCTCCAAACCGTTTACCAAATTAACAAAATAAATTTCATGGTATTTGTTGGCTAAAAAGTTCACCCTTTCCTACAATGGCAATAACACTCAAAGTTCTGGAGTACTACGCAAAACTTTTTCCAATTGATTAAGACGCGTCAGCTTCATTACAGCGCTTACTTAGCTGCCAAAGCAGGTTTCCTGTATCATATACTCTAGCCAAGGAATTATTGGTTCGTTTCAGATACTTTCAATATAATGCTAGTGTTAGATCTGTTTTTAGGTAATGAACAAAGTATATAAGCCTGGTAATATGTGGGCAATTGTCCAGTCAGAAAAACTTGTCACCACAATTGAATTTACATAGCAATCACTAAAACATGTAAACATCAAGTAATGTGTCAAAGCAACGAAGGGGTTTAAGAAAATACTGAAATGTTATTAAATACAGCTTTTGTCCATAATTCAGTACATAGAGCAGTAGATATAAGTTATTTAATTTAAAAAAACTAGTTGCGTTATTTGAAGTCACATCATATATGAAAGGAAAAACATCTCAAAAGGGACTTATCAACCCTTTGCTGTTTCTGGCCGTTGAGATTATTATATTGTTTGTCATCTTTGTGCTGCTAAAACAAATTTAAAAAGGAGACATTCCATTAGGGAAAATAAAAGGGAGGCCCTAAATAGAAATAATTCTGCACTGTCACCACAGATTTCCATGATTTTACCTATCTTCTGCATTCCAAGGCTGAAGGTCATTCATCTTTGTATTTTGACACTCTCTTTACAGTAATTTTTAATTGAGCATATGTTATGTATTGGCACAGATTATTTTTCTCTTACATAAATTTTAACAGAGAGAATTAGACTAGCCAAAAAGGAAGAAACCAAAAGTGCAGCCTCCTTTAATTTTACATGTTTTTTGTAGCTAGCTTGATGACAGGTTCAGCTAAAATGAATGTTACAACACCAAAAAAAGTAAATAATTTAAATTTGCAGCCACATTTTAATAAGTGTTCAGTAACTTTGGGTTCTTCAATTTCTGGGTGTTGACCTGGAGGCACCTACATGCCCAATTTTCTGAGGTAAAAAGGACCTGCAGCTCACATTAACTTCAAAAAAAATCAAGCACAAGTTGGGCACCCAAAATGAGTGAAAACTGAAAATTCTGGTTTTGGTCTTGTCCTTTACCTTATTTTACTCATTTGGAAGAAGTTAATTTCCTGTTTTATTAGGAAGTGAATTCCTTAACGAATCTTTAAGGTGACTTGAAATATTTTGCTACCAAGACTTGAGTTTGACATCCAAGGTTCTCCTCCAACAATTAATAAATAACTAAGGGCTTATCTATACAGGGAAATTTACCAGCATAATTATACTATAAACTGGTAAAATGCCCCTTGTGGGTACATTTATTCTGCTAGGGACAGACGCTAAACCGGGAAAAAAAGTACTCCTATTCTGGAATAGCAGTGTCCATGCAGGGAGTTAGAAGAGGATGGAATTAGAATATTAAGGTGGAGTTATGCTGATAAGTTTCCCCTTGCAGATAAGCCCAAATAGATACAATCTTAGGGCCCAGTCCTGGGAGGTCTTGCAAGCTTTAGAGAGATTTAAGGTTTCTCAGAATGTCGTATGTTTTGGCCTTGGGTACAGAAACCTATATGGTTATTAGGACAATAGCCCTAAAGCTATTTTGGTTGATTTCTCATACAATCATGCAAAATGATAGAAATACCATTCTTTCACAAACTAGCCTTACTGAACTTTAATTGCTCCCTAGGACTATGAGTGAAATAAAGCAGGATGCAGTGGTCTTACAACATATTTCAAAGACCTTGAACTCTCTTCAAGGTTCAGAACCTTGAACTCTCTTCTTGGCAAGTAAGTAAAGGGTAAACTATATTTTATAATGTTTTGGATTACAACATTTATGTGATGTCAAATTATATTCTTTAATTAGAGATTTTAAATACTTCTTAAAAATACATATTACTTCCTCTTTAATGGGACAACTATGAAGTTTTCCAGAAAGGAAAATGCAGTTATTTTGAAGGAACAACTGAGCAGGGTTGTTCCAAATTTGAGTTTGCTACTAGAGGCTTTTTTTGCTTTGTTGTTCTTAAAAAGGAAACACGTTATTTCAAACCAGAGAATCATTTAATAACTAAGAACATCTTATTTTTTAGCATACAAATTCAAGTTAGCTGAATCACATTAAAAATATAAAACACCTTTATCAGCCATCAATGGTGGAAAATAAACAAAGAACAAGTCTGTTTACCGATTAATGATACAGTTCAAACAATTCCATCTTTGCCAGCTGAAATTATCTCGGTCACTTGACAAGTGATTGCCAGTAAAATGTATAAATGTCTGAAACTTCCATAAAAATACGCCTTGTTAATTAGCAATAAATTGAGAGTTTTTCAAAAGCTCTCATGCACCTCTTTAAATATTAGAGATTCTGACAGACGTCGAAATAAATCCTTTGGTTAAAGAAGTTTTGCTGCGTTGAGATACCGTAAAAAAACAAAACCAACCAGGAAGTGTCTGAATCGTTTATGTTTCCAAATCACAGCTGTGCTTCAGTGCAGTCCTGTATTACCCTTTAACTGGCAGCAGAAATTTAATCCTGCATCACACACTTAGCATGAACAGTTTCCACAGCCCTTCACACTGTTGATAATTTCCTCTTGTAGTTTCTTCCTTTCCTCTTCTTTGGACATATGGTTATTTCTTTCTTCCCATTTCTGGTTGATATTACTATTTAGTATTCTGCTGCTCTGTGTGTGCCACATCTCATAGTAGAGACTGCTGGGACTGGCAAGAAGATGTAAATGGCTACCACGCTCAGCAACTTTACCCTGTAAAATATATATACAGTTAGTGATTGAACGCTATCAGATCTTTAGATCGGGGTTCTCAAACTTCATTGCACTATGACCCCGCTCTGACAACAAAAATTACAACAAAAACATGACCCCAAGGGGTGGGGGAGGAGTGGCAAAGTCTATGCCTGAGCCCTGCTGCCCCGGGCAGGAGGGCCAGAGCTGAAGCCAAAGGGCTTCAGCCCCACCACCCAGGGCTGAAGCCAAAGCCTGAGCCCCTCTGCCCAGCGCTGAAGCCCTTGAGTTTTGGCCCTGGGTGGTGGGGCTCAAGCTTTGGCCCGAGCCCCAGCAAGTTAACACCAGCCCTAGTGACCCCATTAAAACAGGGTTGCGACCAACTTTTGGGGTCTTGACCCACAGGTTGAGAACCGCTGCTCTAGAGTATGAAGGTGACAAAAGCATGGGCCAGACAGTTTCACAGTGTAGCTCAGAGAAATCCTCCTCTTTAGTAAGGAGGCAAAACCCACAGAGACAGGCTCATTTAGAGGGAGCACTGTATGTATGGACTCAGTCTTCTCAGGCCACACTCCATGTTAAAGACAGAGAGCTGTAGTCTTCTCTGGGTTATGAAAATTAGGTGCAGACCTCAGGTCTCAGTTGGGCAAAGTTCACAGCTTGACTACATGAAAAACTGTACCAGTTTAAACTAAAGATACAATTTAAACTAGGTTTAGCACTATACATAAGAGCTAGGATTTATTATTAAATTAGTGCATATGCCATATGAACGCTCCAAAAATAAAAATATATCTGCCTTATCTTGACTTAGTTTAAATTGACTAGGAATAAATTTATGCTAAACTGAATTAAGCCATTATTAAACCAAAAATAAGAATGTCCACACAAGTATTTGCACAATTAAACCAAATTGTTTTAAAACCTGATTTAAGTTAAATTGGTGCAACCTCTGTGTTTTGAGAAGGCCTCAGTTGCTCCTATGGTAGAAAGTTCAGTCACTCAAATTATATTGGCAACTAAGTGTGTGTGCTCTCTGTGGGTCCAAAAGCTAAGCTCACTTCTTAGACTGCATAATAAAAGCTACAAATGTGTTATTTTGATTATTGATTCATATAAGGAGAAAATACTAAACCCTGTGGTGTAATATTTACATCATGCAGCAAAAGGGTTATACAATTTTCCAGCTCCTTCTCCTTTCCTGATCCTTATTTAATTGGTTGCCATTATTGTACCCTGCACACAAGCAGGGTTTCATGAACCAGCCTGCCAGCAGGGAGTGATGCATCATGTTGCCTGACTGAGCACATCACTCAGTCTCTACTGAAACAGGAGCTTGGAAAAGCAAGACAACTGATGAACCTAAGCATCCCAGCTGTTCAGCTAACACTAATGAACTAGTTTAATTGTGTTTCTTTTTAAATCCAACAATTATACTATAATACAAAACACACTCTTACTGTGTTGTGCTACATTATATAATTCATGGATTGGCTCATTACATATGGTTATAAACCACAGTAAATGCTGCGCTAGGTCTGACTTTTTATAGAAAAGTAGGGGCACATGAATGTATGCTATTTAAATGTTTAGCAAAAGCAGCAAACCGCAGACAGGTGGGAAGTGAGTTTACTCCATTATCTAATTTTGTCTCTTCCATCTGAATCTCAGGGATATTGAGAAATACCATTAACTCACTTCAAAAGTTTCTTGTTTAAGAAATTCCAGCACAATCATTTAACATACCAAAGAAATATCTGTCTGTTTTCTTCTCGATATATACCATTTTAATATTTTAGTCACTGAAGATTTCAATGGATTCAAGTACATGAATAGCAAATAAAACAGATGAAGAGCACACTACTAAATTTAACAAATTTAAGAAGATCCATAACCAGCAGACAAAACCTAAATCACTAATATCTACGGAGATATCGATTTTAAAAAGCTATTAAGTGATTTTTAGGAACACTTTTATTTTAACTTGGTTACTCAGATTGTAACAGAGAGGAAGGTGGACAGAGTATGAGGTGATAGAATAGACAGAGTATGAGGTGATGGCTGAACAGTGATATTAATCAAATATTGAAAGAGACTCTTTTTGGGGGTGGAGAAAAAGACAGAGGGAATAATTACAATTTTCTAGAGCTACCAGCCACAATAGAGTGGTGCTCAGATTTCTACCATAATTAGATGGAACAATCCTGCAACAATTTTATCTGCAGAAACACAGAGCCCACTGCTCTCTTTTCTATTGACAGTGAGAAACAAGGGATGTATCTGAAAAATGGCCACTCTCACTGGGCAATGAAAATGAAATATAAATTGGGGGAACACATTAGGAATCCAACATGAGAGAAATCCATAATAGAGGTAAATTGTACACCACTTAAACCAATACCAGATTGCCCAGTGAATAGGATTTACCGTAATCCACTTAAAACATTAGTATCTACATGTAGTTAAAAGAATTATACAAGCGCACTACAACATATAAAAACACAGACATACATATGTACAGATACACTAAATTTGTGTCATTGATAAGTTGTATTTGTTGCAAGAAAAATGACTATGTATGAGAAATTTGGGATAGATTTTTCAGACATGGTTCATGTCCAACAAAGGCAGTTCAGTTCTGTATACTCAGAAATAATTTATAGATTTCAAAAGCACACAGTCACTGAAACATGCACATCATGTCAAAGTTGAATTACACAGGGTGATACTCTCTCACCTGATCTAGGACAAGGATTTCATCTGCATCAACTACTGTTGACAATCTGTGTGCAATGAAAACAGTTGTTCTGTGCTTCACCAGGTCCCTCATGGCACTGAGAATGTTCTGCAAATTAAAAATGTACGTCTATATGTGTGCATTTAAGAGGAAATAAAATCAGGTCGTGTAACACTTCAAACAAAGTTTTAATGAATGCTGAAGAATGTCTTCGAAGCCCCAAATTGAAAAATATCTGGAACTATTTCTGGAAGAAGCAACACAATGCCTAGGATAAGACATCAGTAGCTCTGTGAAAATCCTCAAAGTGGAGCTTCACAGTGTGAAGGAAAGCCAAAGGAGGTTACACTTCTCTAGGAAATTTAAACATCTCAAGAGGGTAGAGGAAGGGAAGTGTTTGCTCACCTTCAGGAAAAAAAAAAGTTTGTAGTATGACTGTACAAGAAACAGTGCTGATAGCTGTGGCATGTGCAGGTATAACGTTTTACTCTCCAAATCAACAAAAATTAAAGAACAGCTAAGACCGTCTACACGATGGAGATTATACCAGTATAACTATGCCACGGGAGCCATGTTCACCTAACCTGCCACATATATGCAGCCGATGCTGATGAAAGGGGATTTTCCATTGGTGTAGGAACACCATCTCCCCAAATAATGGTAGTTTGGTTGACAGAAGTATTAGGTTGACAGAAATATTCTCAATTGACATAGCTGCGTCTATGGGGGTTAGGTCAACACAGTTACGTCGATCAGGAGGTGTGGATTTTTCATACTGTGGATGAAGTAGCTACAACGACCTAATTTTTAAATGTAAACCCTGGCCTGTGTCAACAAGGAACACAAATATTCCCAAAACCACAACAGCCCAAGGAAATATTTACTATCTACAGCCAACCCCATCAAGTCAGAAGCAGTGTTTCCTTTTCCACCTTCACGAGCTGCATACCTCAGATGCAAAAGTATGATTTGAGGCTATGTCTACAATGCAATGAAAGACCTGCAGCGTGGCCACAGAGCCCAGGTTAACTGACGCAGGGTCCGAGACTAGGTGTCAGGGGTGTTTTACCACAGTGTAGACATACACAAGCTCTCTTAGGGTAACTACTACACAAGCTGGGATATGCATTTTGTTTTCTTTAAATAAAGCTAGCCTCTGTCAGAAAACATTGTGATTACAAGATATACATTTCTGAAAAGAACTCATTTTTATTTGCTGCCTTTAAAATGCAGCTGTGTTGTGCAAACATTCAGCTTTGTTTGGCAACCTTGCAATAATTATAGCAAAATGAGAGGAAAAAAACTAGTACTGTTCAGAAATCTTTGTCACAAATGATAAAAACACAAGTCCAGGGAAGTGGTCTACTTCAGACAGGGGGATCATTATTTGTGTTATACACCATAAGCATGTACCAAGTGTACATTAAATGACTTCCCTACGTCTGTAAAATAAGCACAGTCTAGTGATCAGCGGTCAAAGTATGCCAAATAATCTACACAAGTGGAAACAATTTGCAAACTGCATTCTTTTAGCTCTAGTTTTAGAAAATGCGATTAGTTCATGAAATTACTGTTACTGCTGAGATTTTTGTATTTAGCACAAAGAGGTGGTTATGAAGTCTGATGCAGTTGCTGTGGTAATGTCATGACATCTGTGTCACAACATCCTGATATTTCACAGCCTTTTCTATGAAATGAATATAAATTAATACCAGCAGTGTAGGGTATGTGTACCTGACTTGCATCTCAGGATGATGCTCCACAATGAATGAAAGGTTTTCTATTTTGCAGTATGTCACAATCATTTAAATGACCTATATTGTAATGAATGTTAAACAGCACCCAAATTCCTCTATTTAAAGTGGACCCCATGAGTACATTAGCAACTGCAACACTTTCAAATGGTGTCGGCTTACTGCTGCAACAGGATGTCACGCTGTAAAACAGGACAGTAGTTCAGATGTGGACATGACATTGCTGGCTCTGGCTCCATGTAGGTTGGGAATCTCAAGGTACATCTGTGCTGCAATAAGAAGCCTGTGGCATGGCTACAGCTGGCTGGGTCAGCTGACTCAGGTTCTGCAGGGCTCCGGCTCATGAGGCTATAAAATTGCAGTGCAGAGTTCGGGCTTGGGGCGGAGCCCAGGCTCTCAGACCCTGCGATGCAGGAGGGCCTCAGAGACCAGGCTTCCGCCCCAGGCCAAATGTCTACATCACAATTTTACAGTCCCGTGAGCCCAAGCCAGAGTCAGCTGACCTGGGCTCTGAGTGCAGTGCCAGGTTTTTTTTTTAATCTCAGTGTAGACATACCCTTAGTGTCTCAACTTTTGGCCTTCGGGGAAAGATTCTTTACTCTTCTCATTGACAATACTAAAGAATGGCATTAGAGTAGCTAGACAAAAAGCAAACATAACAAAATCTCTTCTGGGAGGAGATTGGAGGGCCAGCAAAGTTGGACAGAATGCAGCTGAAAAGGCTTTAGATTCTTTATCCTACTTTACCTCTTCTGTAATTGAATCTAAAGAGGATGTGGCTTCATCGTAGAGAATAATAGGAGGATTCTTTAAGATGGCTCTGGCAATAGCAACTCTTTGCTTTTCCCCTCCTGAGCAACAGAGAAAAAAAAAAAAAGGTTACTTTTGCCTTGATCACCACAACATAGTATTCTAACACCTGTGATAAAGAGAGAGATGTACGAAGAGGATACATCTGAAGCCCTTTTTCATTCATCTTTGCCATGCAAACATTTCATATAAAAAGAAAGGGATTACAGCCACATTACAAGAAACCTCCACCCATTTTGCTCTTCAGAATCTTGAAACTTACCTGATAATTTTCACATGGGACTAAAGTCCATTTGAGGTTGAAATGACAATTGGAATGACTACACTTTTGGCTACCACCAGCAGCAATTTTCTGAATAGTGACACCAGATGTATTAGTCAAATGTAAGACTGATTTCAATTTTGAAATCAGAGTTAAAGCTGGACAGAAAGTAACCTTGCAAACACAATTTAGTGGGGGCAACAAAGTGCTCAAGTGTAAAAAGAGTGCCCAGTGGTACTTTGAAATAATACTTTGCTCTTATATGGCCCTTTTTATTTCACATACAAATCTTAAAGTGTATTAAAAAGGAAACCAAGAATCATTATTCCCATTTTGCAGATGGGGAAACAGTTACAGAGAGGCAAAGTGACTAGTGCAAGATCAGACAGGTCAGTAACAGAACCAGGAATAGAACTCAATCTTTTGATTCCAGTTTGCAGGGTACTGAATTGGTTTCATGCTGCTTCTGACTCAGGACTAAACACTCGTACACAATGTTCCATGCCTGAAATAGCCTCCATCATCACATGAACCTTGCAGCATCACATGCTGCCACCAAATCTCTCTCACGACTCACTTCCGCTATTTGCCTTTACTCAGGTGCTCCCTAAAAATCCAATACGGTCATGTAAACATGATTCTTAAACTGAATGCAGCAGCCTGAAGTTCTTGCATACACAACACCTAACACCCCCCAATGAAATCCCCTAAGCATCCTTTTTTCTACCTTGTGGTTCTGTTGTTCACTAATCCCCACTCCGACATTCTATACCATGGGGGCGCATCCTGGAACCCCCATATGTCTCATTTTTATATAATCGTGATCTTACATATAAAGCATGCCTTGTAAAGTCTCAGGGGAAAGGTTATCATATGCTGAAAGTCAGTTCTCTATACATATATGTGTATCATTGGAGCATCAGAAGTTATGAGAATTGTGTTGTATGGTGGTCACTAAAACATGCTGTAAGTTGGGGAATCAGCTAGATATTAGCTCCCCAGAGGCAACAGCAAGGAAAGTAACCAACACCTGGGCGGGGTGTCAATCAATCCATCAACAACCATTGTCCAGCAAGGGAGCTACAATGCAATGACGCACCTGCATGGGGCCCACATCGGGGGAACTGCTCAACTTTGCCTGGAGACTCACCAACGTCACCCAGACATGCCTGGACTTGTGTTTTCCAAGCACATGGACTGAGGGTATAAAACCAAACACAGGAGGCTCATGCTGGGCCTTTTCTCCTTCACCCACCTACGCTACAAGCAACAAGGATACCTCTGAAGACCCCAACTGAGGGGACTGGCCCAGATTTCAAAGATGATATCTGTATATTAAAAGGACTGCAATATCCAGTGGGGTGAGAAAAATTGCTTAGTCTAGTTTTTCCCAGTCTAATAAGGTTGAGAGTTTAGACTGGGTGCTTATATTTTATTTCTTATGATGACTAACTCTGACTTTTTGCCTATCACTTAAAATCTATTTTTTGTAATCAATAAATTTGTTTTACTGTTTATCTTCACCAGTGAGTTTGTATGAAGTGTGTGGCAAATCTGCTCAGGTTTTTGAAAGGCTGGTGTAGATCCACTTTCCACTGATGAAGCGATGAACCAATTAATAAATTTGCACTGCTCATCTTGAGCAGTGCAAGACGGTGTACTCCTGCGGTACGGTGCTGGGGGGATTTGGCCCTGGTGTCTTTCTCTGTGTGATTTATGAATGGCTCTGGGAGCATTCATGAAATCTAGCTGGGTGTGTGGGGCTCCACATGCTGGTGTACTGAGTGATCACAGCAGCTGGAAAGGTTTGCTGCTGGTCACTAGCAAGGCATTGTGAGAGACAGCCCAGGCTAGAGAGAGTTAAGGGGGCACAGTGGTCCCACAGTCCCAGGCTGCACTCCAGGAATCCTGTCACACCTACCATCTTGTGTTGATATAACCCTTACTTATTGTGTAATCTGTGTATATAAGAATGTGGTTAAACTGAGCAATAAACAGAAGTTGCACTATTTGCCCAAGATGTTATTTTTACTTCTCTCTTTTAAGAAATATCTAGTATGAAGATTACTACTGTCTGTTAGAGCTGGTGCTTGAAAAGCATGCAGTGATCCTATAATCGGTGGCCTCCTCTTATGCAGTTGGTTTCCAGCATATACAGTTGCTTCATGTTTTTCTTTATGCACAATCCAGCAACTCAGTGTTCAGTGAATATTTTAAAATGCTTTTATATTTGCAATGCTTATTTAATTTAATTTAATACTGTAGACAAATAAAAACCACATTTATATCAATATTTAAAATTGTAATTTATATTGCCTGCATAGGCTAAAACTGTTTTGATACCTGTTGTTCACTCTCTATGTAAACAGTTAATTTTACAATGTTTACTGTCCATTAAGCATTTTACTCAGGGCATTTAATGAATATAAAAGTTTCCATTTTAACAAACACTCTTCCCCACTGCACCTTTTATTTCAGCATTACACAAGTGAGGAGAATCATCATGCAATATTTGTAATGTTTCCTTCGTCAGATTAAGATCTATAGACACAAACATACAATAGATAGATATTTCTTCTTGTTAAAGCTAATTTAGTGACACTAGAGAGATGTCAATTCACTGACTTGACTGAAAGTTGCCCACATTAAGCACAGGCTACTTAGTTACCCATTGTAAAAAAGTTTTAAACTCTCTAAATGTGCTGTTGGCTTGCTACAATTTACATCCCACAATTTTACAATGACCACCACTGGATTACTTGAACAAAAGGATCTTTTACTACAGCAAGTAAGCCATTTGCATACAGAATTCTAACTGTGTGCTCCACTCCACAGGATGAACATCTATGAGAACGAGGGCTCGTAATTACATTTGCCCAGATTTCTAATGAAAAGTGCTGCCACACGTTTTCTATCTGGAAGTCCATTATTTCTCTCCCTCCTCCGTCGAAGCTTATTTTTAGTATCACCAGTAGGGTAGCCTACCTTTTTTTTTTTTTTTTTTTTTTTACTGAAACATCCTCTGTTTATGAACAGTGGTCCCTCAAACTCAGCTTCTCCGATTGTTAAAATGAAATATGTGGATTTCAATGCAGCCCACTTAAAATACATAACGTACTCACCGTCTTCTCCCTAGTTTTCCCTTGCACCCTCTACTAGAATGCTTTGGGGGGAAAAAACCTCATGGGAAAGGATTGAGTATTTTCCCTCAGGAAATGTGAGGCTGAACTTCTTGTTTTAAGCTCTAATGAACTAAAGCAGATAAGCATTTGGGGAAGAGGGACTGGTTTCCATTTCACAATTCCAGAAAAAAATATGAAACTTCAAAGTCATTATCACATTGATGGTACTCAAATGGAGTTGCTTCGTAAAGTCAGGGGTTTATCTATAAAAGTGAACTAGTGGCAACGTGTATCAAGTCCATTAAACAAACAGGATAACCGTTTCAGTAATAAGGGGTTTGTAGCACAACAGACGAAGTTTGGCATCACAACTTGCATTAAAACTGTAAATATGGCTCTAACTAGTAAAACATGTTATATCAGAATCCAGATGAAAGAGTTAGAAACATTAAAGCCCAAAATTGTCAACTAATTTTCAAATGCCTCTCTCTTTCAGGATTTCAATTTGAGAGATGTTGGGCCCTGAAAGGTGCTGAACACACACAACTTCAATAGAGTTCAATTCAATATGCCATTTGAAGCACCTAAAATTAGTGGGTATTTTTGAAAGTATTGGCTTAAGCCTCCCTGGCACCTTGATCATATGTAAAAGTTATGATACATGTTAACGACTACTGTCCACTTTCTCATAGTCATCTAATTTAGTGTCAGAAGTAAACGAGTAGGGAAACAGAGCTAGGGAAATACAACCAAGATGGAGCTACCATAAGGTGGGGTGCATAACTGGTTGGAAAACTGTTCCCAGAGAGTAATCATCAGTGGTTCACAGTCAAGATGGAAAGGGATATTGAGTGGTGTCCTGCAGGGATCAGTTCTGGGTTTGGTTCTGTTCAATATCTTCATCAATGATTTAGATAATAGCATAGAGTACAGTTATAAAGTTTGCAGATGATACCAAGCTGTGAGGGGTTTCAAGTGCTTTGGAGGATAGAATTAAAATTCAAAATGATCTGGACAAACTGGAGAAATGGTCTGCACTGAAGTAAATAGGATGGAAGTCAATAAGGTCAAATGCAAAGTACTCCACTTAGGAAGGAACCATCAGTTGCACACGTATAAAATGGGAAATGACTGCCTACGAAGGAGTACTGCACAAAGGAATCTGGGGTCAGTGAATCACAAGCTAAATATAAGTCAACAGTGTAATGCTTCTGGGGAAAAAAAAGAAAAAAAAAAGGAACATCATTCTGGGCTGTATTAGCAGGAGTGTTGTAACCAAGACACAAGAAGTAATTCTTCTGCTCTCTCCTCTGTGCTGATTAGGACTCAGCTGGAGTCCTGTGTCCACTTCTGGGCACCACATTTTAGAGAAGAGCAACAAAATGACTGAAGGTCAAGAAAACATGACCTATGAGGGAAGAGTGAAAAAACTGGGTTTGTTTAGTCTGGAGAAGAGACGACAGAGGGGACATGATAACAGTTTCAAGTACATAAAAAGCTGTTACAAGGAGGATGGAGAAAAATTGTTCTGCTTAACCTCTGAGGATAGGATGAAAAGCAATGGGCTTAAATTGCAACAAGGGCAGTTTAGGTTGGACAGCAGGAAAAACTTCCAAACGGTCAGGGTGGTTAAGCACTGGAATAAATTGCCTAGGGAGGTTGTGGAATCTCCATCATTGGAGATTTTTAAGAGCAGGTTACACAAACACTTGTCAGGGATGGTCAAGATAATACTTAGTCCTGCCATGAGTGCACGAGACTGGACTAGATGACCTCTCAAGGTCCCTTCCAGTCCTACGATTTTATGATTCGAGCTGCTGTTCACTCCAATGTCAAAGGCACATCCCCAACTGCTTCTTTACCAACTAGAAAATTCAAATCACTCTGATTTTTATTGATACATGATTTTTCAAACACATTTTGTATTTCAACACCAAAGCCTTAAAAAAAACAAACCCACAATAAAAAAGACCAAATAATTATAAATTTAAAATTGCATTTTTTCACCGCAATTTAAGTGCTTCTTCCATAAAAACGTGTGTTGTGTGTGTAATCAAGATCACCATGGTGACAAAGTGTAAAATGGTGTAAATGTTTCCTCAACTTTCAAAAAAAGACTTCTGCCCAAGAGTCTCAAGGTCAGAAAGGCAAGAACTTCTCCACATAACTAATGGGAGGAGTGTGTTTCAAGACACAAAATTTGATTTTACAACAGCCATTTCTGATGGTGGGGCCATTGTTTGAAGTTGCAAGGTTTGAGATATTAGCAGTATTGGAGAAAACAGTGTAAGAATAAAGCCAGCTTGCATCCTGCAAGTCATACACAATGTTACTGGCCAAAATGTTTTTATCCCTATCTGCTATGTTCTACATCATTCTGTCTTGCTTATATCTCATCTTCCTCTACTCCCTCACTCAGCCCTTGGGCTATACAAATTCTGCTTCCCTTCAAGTGTCCACAAATGCCTTTATGCTTTCTCCTGCACCTGGAATGCCCTCCCCAACCCTCTATGCACACAGCCTCCATGTCATGCAATCACTCTTTTCTGATAACCCACTTCTCTCCACCTCTCCAGTAATGTCCTCACTTTTATGTTATTCTAATAAAGTTCTTTTTTAAAAAGGGAACAAAATTCTCCTTGTGAAATAAAGCAAATGCTCAAATATGCCAATTTTCAGACATTAACTTTAATCTTCTCATATATTTCATTTAAATTTCATCAAGTGGCTTTTAGTCATGGACAAAAGCACTTCTTTCTTTGGGAACTTTTAGATTACTGAGATAACAATATGGCTTTGAATAGATATTTTCTTTCAACATGCACTTTAAGAACAATGCACACCACCACTGCATACACTGGCATATGGATTTGGTCAGAAGCAGATGTTGCCTTACATCTTTGAAACCTATAACAGAAAATGGATTCAGGCACCTACGAGTTTTGTCATCACCACACCTTGCACTTTCCAGAATATCCACCAGCGAGGAAAATCAATTCCATTAGCAGAATAAGCGTGGGAGTACTTCATGAAATGGCCACCACATTCCACTTTCATGCAGCTATATATTATAAAATATTTGTAAGCACCATAAGAATACAGACTACTACGTAAAATGTAACATTTATTCTTGTTACGATTATTCCATCCCGCAAGATAAACAATGATTTTAGTTTTGCATTATTCAAGATGTACAATTCATAGATTAATAATGTTGACAATGTCTTGAGCACAAATCTAACAGCTTATTTCCAAATAAAACTTTAGGTTTAAAAGATGGCTAAGGTTGAAACACTCAATTAAAAACACGTACGCATGCACACATACACCAATAAAACCACAAAATTCTACATCTTAAACCCCCCACATCCACCCACCCCAAAAGCCCTACAAACAAACAAGGTAAGGCATCCAGACATTTCCTAACAGCCATGCAATCAGTCATCCATCACTCGCTATCACCCACTTAACTCTGTCCCAGTAAGGATGCCAGCCTTCCACCCCCACTTTCCTCAAACATGCATATGTGTAATTTTACAGAACTGTGCAGAAGGGGCAGTGGTGGGAAGAGAGAGAAGATAGTCCGGTCTGACTGTGGTATGGAGGTGGAATTTTGGCAGGGTGATGCTGAAAGGCTGTACCACAACCTTAACTCAGTAGGGATGCCAATCTCTGTAGTATATGGTGGTTGTGCTGCTGGGTGAGGTGTGTGTCTCTGGGTGGAGCAGCACAGGGTATGTTACCTTTTAATTTCCTTGCTTTTTTAGACGTGGCAAAGAGTCCTGTGGCACCTTATAGACTAACAGACGTATTGGAGCATAAGCTTTCGTGGGTGAATACCCACTTCGTCAGATGCATGCAGTGGAAATTTCCAGAGGAAGGTATAAATATGCAAGCAAAATCAAGATAGGGATAATGAGGTTTGTTCAATCAGGGAGGATGAGGCCCTCTTCTAGCAGTTGAGGTGTGAACACCAAGGGAGGAGAAACTGCTTTTGTAGTTGGCTAGCCCTTCACAGTCTTTGTTTAATCCTGAACTGATGGTGTCAAATTTGCAAATGAACTGAAGCTCAGCAGTTTCTCTTTGAAGTCTGATCCTGAAGTTTTTTTTGCTGCAGGATGGCTACCTTTAAATCTGCTATGTGTATCCAGGGAGATTGAAGTGTTCTCCTACAGGTTTTTGTATATCGCCATTCCTAATATCTGATTTGTGTCCATTTATCCTTTTACGTAAGGACTGTCCAGTTTGGCCGACGTACATAGCAGAGGGGCGTTGCTGGCACATGATGGCGTATATTACATTGGTGGACGTGCAGGTGAATGAACCGGTGCTAGTGTGGCTGATCTGGTTAGGTCCTGTGATGGTGTCGCTGGTGTAGATATGTGGGCAGAGTTGGCATCGAGGTTTGTTGCATGGATTGGTTCCTGAGTTAGAGTTACTATGGTGCGGTGTGTCGGTGGTGGTGAGAATATGCTTCAGGTTGGCGGGTTGTCTGTGGGCGAGGACTGGCCTGCCTCCCAAGGCCTATGAAAGTAAGGGATCGTTGTCCAGGATGGGTTGTAGATCACTGATGATGCGTTGGAAAGTTTTTAGCTGAGGACTGTATGTGATGGCCAGTGGAGTTCTGTTGGTTTCTTTCTTGGGCTTGGCTCGCAGCAGGAGGCTTCTGGAGCCAGACGTGTACTCATAAGTGCCAATACTTCTGTCAGTCTATAAGGTGCCACAGGACTTTTTACCGCTTTTACAGATCCAAACTAACACGGCTACCCCTCGGATACTGGCTTTTCTAGGTTTTGTATTAGGTGTGTTATAGAGCCAGTAACCTTAACTGACAGAATGCAATGCGTCATGTATTAATTTATATCGAATTCAAAATAGCAAGTTACCATAAAATTATAAAATCCCTTTTACTATGAAAAGGATCAATTTCCAATGTACTGTACTGAGATACCGCATAACAGAGCTCACTCAAAAAAAAAATAAAAAAAAAAAAAATGTAGTAGCTCCACATTTATATTTAAAAATCCAAACTTGGAAGGTCTACAACACTTGTGTAAACCTACAACACAACATAAGCAGCAACACACACCATCAAACCAAACACATCCGACATTCCAATTCTATTCATACATGTTCTTCTATGACCCCCACACACCATACTAGAAGGAAAAAAGTCTATGTAATTCTGACATTACTTAATGTCCCCTGAAAATATATTCCTTTAAATACCTTCGAGAATACAGAGATCTTGAGCCACTGGTTTTAATATTTAACTCTACACTTATTACATGCCAGCTAAGAACTTCAAATTAATGACATCTCGAGGTGATGTGTGAACTGTGTACATAGTTTGGAGCTAGTGAAAAGGGTGCAAAGAATGTACATCTTTATGGATTTACCTGAGAGCTTGAGTCCTCGTTCACCAACTTGTGTGTTGTACCCATTGGGCATTCGGGCAATAGAATCATGGATTCCTGCCAACTTTGCTACTGCATACACCTCTTCTGCTGATGCACCAATATTGCCATATAAGAGGTTGTAGTAGATGGTGTTATGGAATAGAACGGCATCCTACAATTGTAAAGCGTATTTTAAACATGAAAATATGATTGATACTTCATGGGTGCAAGTTGGAAAAAAAAACCCCAGTACAGATTATCTTATACTCTTCCACTGTGCCCTTAAGGGAAAAATGTTTCTGGGAAAACGTAATTAGATGTTTCAATATCTTGAACAGATATAAAATATATTTTGAGTGAAATAATTAAGATCTTTATAATACATGCTCTAGTTTTACCATCTCACAACAAGTGTTAATGACTATGTAAAACATCATGCAAGAAACCTCTTCATTTCCAGTAGTAATATCTCCTTGACGTTTCAAATATTAAAGTTACCAGGGTTCCTGAAATACTGAAGCAAGAGAGACTTTCAAATTAAGCCTGACAACACAACTGTGCGAACCTTGTCTTTCATTTGAACCAGAGCTTCTGAATATCAAAAGTTACACTATCAAGGACAACATCTGGGATATTATAAACCACTATACCTGAGGTACAACTCCTATAGCCTTTCTTAGGCTTTCCAAGCTGATGTCTTGTATATTCTGACCAGCAACATAAATGTTTCCTTTCTGGGGTTCAAAGAAGCGGAATAGTAATCTGACTATTGTGCTTTTTCTAAAATTGAGAGAAGGGTTGAAATAAAGGTTAAATTTTAGTTTAGCATTTGTAAAGCTCAATCAATATAAAAGTGTCACAGAAAAAAAAAAATCGCCAAAGCAGAATAAAATCATATTTTCAAACTCCAATCAATGATGCAGAATTTGGCACAGTCCATTTACCCACCCTGACCCACTACCTCCTACAATGGCCACTTTCTTTCCTGCAGGGACTTCAAAAGACACTCCATTAAGGACTTTCTGCCCCTCAAGGTATTCAAAATACACGTTATCAAAGGCGATGGTAGCAGTCTGTGGTGTGATGTGCAGCGGTGGAGCCAGCTCTTTGTCCTATTAAAAAAAGAGTGCCACTTTACACACTGCCCAGAACGTATTTCAAACAGCTCAACAAGCTTAACAGTCAATTTCCTAATTCAAAAAGTGAAAGGCGGATGCTTTAGCTTTAACTAGTTAAAAATTATTTATTTCAGCCACACACGTGAAGATTGTGTTTCATTCCTCTCCTCCCCTGAAGGTCAAAAATTTCTCTTCTGATCATTCAGCTTCTAGTCAGCTTTTTTGCATAATAAATTCTGCATCATTAATTACAACTAAAAGACTTAAGAGCATGGTGGAAACACTAAAATAAAAAAATCTCAACACCAATACAGCTTCTCTGTGAAATAACATTCTCTCTTACCAAAAGGCTCTGCAAGTTAAAAGCAAAAGCTGTTCTACTAACTGCACTTAAACAGAATGAACAGAGCTTCCTTACACAGCATCTCCTTGTAAAACAGAAATTAGCTCTAAAAGGTAACAGAGGATGAAGCAAGAACATTGCCAGGAAAAAAAAATACCCTATTAATGCTGAAGTACTTGGTAACTTTTTTTTAAAGTACTTACTTTAATTCTTGTGTCTACGCTGAGGAGTGTAAACAAGGTGTTCATATCTATGAGAGCTTGCCTAGTCTCTCTGTACACTGTTCCCAGAAAGTTAAGCGGTAGAGAAAGCTGGAATAGCAGTCCATTCACCATTACCAGATCCCCAACTGTCAAGTTCCCTTAAAACAAAGATAGGGGAGAGACAGCATTTATGTTAAGTATTTTACCAGGATGGCACATAAATAATTTAGGACTGTTAGTGTGAAATCCAGCATAGTCTGTGCTATACCACATTTACAACAGGACACAAGTGTTTAACAACACAAAAGAAAAATCATTCTTGGAGGAGCACACTTTGTCCAGTGAAGTGCCACAGTCGTCATTTATACTGATTTCATTAAGATATTAAATTATTTGGAAAAAGAAGCTGATCGCATAGTTATAAAATCACAGAAAATTCTAGACTGGGAGATGTTGCAAACGCCACTGTTTCTCTCTTTTCAATGAGTTCTAAAGGACCTTAAAAATATAGATAAGAAACAACCAGTGGAACCTAGATATAGGGGCATCATTTCATGGACCAGAGAGGGAACAGAAATTTTCTATGTGGCTCTTGTGAGACCACACCTAGGATACTGTGTGACACTATGAGGAACTCAGTACCAAATACTTTGAACAGGAAGATATTCAAAGGTCCAGCTGAAATGCATCCTAGAACACTCAAGGAGCTGACTGAGGAGATATCTGAGCCATTAACAATTATCTTTGAAAAGTCATGGAAGACTGAAGAGACTCCAGAAGACTGGAAAAGGCCAAATATAGTGCCAATCTATAAAAAGGGAAATAAGGACTATTACAGAATTACAAACCAGTCATCTTAACTTCTGTACCAGGAAAGATAATGGAACAAATAATTAAGCAATCAATTTGCAATCAATTTGCCTAGGGAGGTTGTGGAATCGTCATCATTGGAGATTAAGAGCAGGTTAGATAAACACCTGTCAGGAATGACCTAGATAATACTTTTAGTCCTGCTATGAGTGCAGGGGACTGGACTAGATGATCTCTCGAGGTCCCTTCCAGTCCTATGATTCTATGATTTTTCTGTAAACTCAAATTGGAGGTCCAAGAAAAGATCTCTCCCTCCACCCCTAAGTGTGAACTGCATTAACAGAGAATTAACATTTAAATTCATGGTCATAATTTTCAATGGAGCAATATTCTGACAATTAGATGGAAAGCTTCTGTTGCCCTGTAAACAACATAACAGAACAGGGTTTTCATACAGTTAGTACTCCAGATTGGGATTTTTTTTTAAATTGCTGAATACTTGTATTTAACTTTAAGAATGTCACAGATGCAAGTGATTATTCACCTTCTAGAGTCAGAGTCAGTGAATTTGCAAGTATAATATGGTCTCCTCCTTTAAAGAGGAGAACCAGTTTCTAAAGCACAGGTCTCACTACCACACACATACATGACAGAATGAAGATACAGTGGTATCAGATGAGAAGGCAAATGCTCACCCACTATCCCAGCAATAAAACAAACGCTAGATATGTCCATGTCCAACAAAAAGAATTAAACAAAGTGGGATAAAAAGAATTAAAAAAAAACAAACCACTGTCATTGTGACGAAGTCAAAACCAAAAATGTGATAAAAAAATTGCATTTAGTTCAAAATGCCTGCAGTCCAGTAATACAGGTAAGCATAAATTATCTTACGTTATCCTGCAGCCATGTTTATGTTGTTCTAGAATTTTGTTTTACTATTGGCAAGGATAGCTCAATTAGAGTGTTAGCGACATGAAAAAGAGAAAAACTAGAAGAAAATGTTACCAAAAAATAGAACATCCATCCCCAAAACAACAAGAATTCATAATTACAGTATCAGAAGCAGTAGTATCAGTCTTTCTAAAATACTTTAATCCAGTTCAGTTATTAATGCAAAAGGGAACTTGCATTTTACTTAGAGTCAGGTCAATTACCTGCAATGATTCCCTGACTAGCAAGCACCATAATGGCTGTTAAGCCAACGCTGAATATAGCGCTTTGCCCAAAGTTCAGCATAGCTAAGGTAGAGGTAGTCTTCAGTGAGGCATTTTCATAGGTCTTCAAAAATCCATCATATCGCTGGGCTTCATATTTTTCATTATTGAAATACTACAAGATAGATAAATGTAGAAAGGTGTGACATTCTTAAAAATGTACTAGAGTCAGTGTACTTTAGCTAAACATAAGATTCATTGTAACATGTTACATCAGTCAAAAATTTATTCGATATCTACTCGGTGTGACATTAACTCTAATACCCAGAGACAGATCCAAAAGGTGAGGATACAGAAGCCCAACCAGCAAGGGCCAAGGCCATGACCTGGTGAGAAGACCAGAGCCCACCTGGCATCTTCACCAGATTGCTGTTCCTGGACCTAGCTCAGGTGCTTCATCTTTTGTGTTGGTTGACCATCTTCTCTATCTGCCAGAACTTCCCTAATACTGTGAGGATGGCAAGGTCTTCATGATTTTACTCCTCATCCAATCTCCATTTATGGGTCCTTCTCCACAGCAGTAGAAGCATGAAACTGATATGACTCTGGGCAGTTTCGGGGCTGCCCACAGGAATCTGTGCCGGTCCCTTTTCACTGCTGCTATTTACTCTTCTTCATGCAGATACTGTGGTTGAGGTACGGTGTTCGGAACAGTGCACATGCACTAGAATTGTCCATCTACTGGCTCAGAAAGACACCATCAAAATGGTTTACATTCAGAAGATGGTTTTTGCAACCATGAAGGATAGGGGATTTTTGTTTTGTTTTAAATGAAAGTTTAAAATTTTGCAGAAATTGTCATTTTTGGCTCAAGCACTCACTACAGAAAGTTTCCCACTTGTCACTGAGGAATGGATTTGTCAATCCCTGCACACAGTTTTCACACTACCTAGTTGAGACCATTATCCATTTTAAGAGAACTATGTTTTTACAACATATTATTGGTCTAAATGTGTGACCATATGGCTTCACTTCACTTAGGTTGGAAGCGAACACCAAAAAACAACACACCTCCCCCAGGCCAGCTTTCTGCTTCTACAAATGCCCAAAGAAGCATTTCTTGCACATCAGTTTAGAAATTAGCTTGGGCATCCAGTTCTCAGACTTTGGTCCATGGACTACCAATGGTTTTCATGTCCCTTCATGGTAGTCTTCCTGCAGCATAACACATTTGAGGTCCATGCATTGGGGGATTATGACAGAAGATAATCCATGTGAGGAACTCTCTTTTACAAAAGTGCTCCCACAGACAGGAAAAATTGGAGAACAGCTGGAATAAGTTATTCACCAGACTTTATCATTCTTTAGATACTGTTTTAACTGCAACAAAAGGGCAACAAAAATTATTAGGGGGCTGGGGCACATGATTTATGAGGAGAAGCTGAGGGAACTGGGATTATTTAGTCTGCAGAAGAGAAGAATGAGGTGGGATTTGATAGCTGCTTTCAACTACCTGAAGGAGGGTTTCAAAGAGGATGGATCTAGACTGTTCTCAGTGGTAGCAGATGACAGAACAAGGAGTAATGGTCTCAAGTTGCAGTGGGGGAGGTTTAGGTTGGATATTAGGAAAAGCTTTTCCACTAGGAGGGTGGTGAAGCACTGGAATGGGTTACCTAGGGAGTGATGGAATCTCCTTTCTTTGAGGTTTTTAAGGTCAGGCTTGACAAAGCCCTGGCTGGGATGATTTAGTTGGGGACTGGTCCTGCTTTGAGCAGGGGGTTGGACTAGATGACCTTCTGAGGTCCCTTCCAACCCTGATATTCTATGATTCTATCAGGAAATGGAGATGGCGTTCCAAAAAGTGGAGGATATTGTAAACCAAAAAATGAAGGAGAATAGGGAACAGGGTTGATACTAAAAGTTGCTCTCTCAAACTGAACACGCCTAAACTCACTTTGAATATATAGATGTTAGTGGGTAATTATATTGTATACCATAGTGTTAAAGATGGTAAAAAGAGATTTAATGTCTTACCTTCACAGTTTCATAATTTAACAGCGAGTCAATTGCAGCATTACCTGCATCATTATCTGCTTTGTTCATTTCTATTCTAAATTTAGTCCTGTAAAATAAAGGTTTTCACAGTCAAAGAGTATTGGTTGCAGTGAGAACAATAATCTTTAAATCCTGACCTGTTTTGAGGAATGCCTTACCTCCACTGTGTAACTCCTATCGTGAATGCTGTATATGCACCGAGTGTCCCCAGGGCTACAAATGCGAATGGTGCACCGCATTTATAATACTGGAGGGGAAAAAATGCTAATCATCAGTATGATTTAGGACACCAATATTATTTCAAAAGTATCACAGCATCCAAAAGTTGGGTAGGTCCCTCCCAAAACAGATTAAAAAAGACATGGCTCTTGCCCTGAACAGCTTATAAATTAATATCAGGCTTGATCTAACCAGGGTAACAGGAAGGGAGTTGGCAAAGGAAGGACAAAGGTAACATCAATAAGATAATGAAACAACTCAGCAAGGGCTAGTGCACAAAATGGTAAGGAAGGGTTTTTAAAACTTTTTGTATTAATAGAATAAAGTAAGTGTCTTAGTTTGCAAATTTCTTGAAGGCTTTGCAAAAAAGGTGGGTCTTGACTGACAGAGTAGTGGCCTTGGAAGGATGTTCCCACTATGACCCACTCTTAGTATGCATAGCTTTTGGAGACAGTGTGAGAGAAAGGCTATAGAAGGCTGCAAGAGATGCAGATGAATGGGGTATCAAGCCTGGTGTCTCTGGCAAGGTGGATATAATCAAATGATAGCAAGACAAAAATTCACAACTTTCTAGGCTGAAACATTTGATCAAATTATTTAAACAAAAATGTTTGTAAGGTGTAGAATCAAATATTCATATAATAATCCAAGATAAGGGACAACACAAACAAAAAAAATACTACTGAAGACAAAGGGCTAAAAATTAAATTGAAAACTCATAGCTTTTTTCCTATATTCATCCAGTTTGTTTACTTTACGCATTTGACACAAATTTATGTATAGTCATTTTGCCCTTTTGACTTCGTGGGTTTTTCCATACAACAGGAGAGACAAAAAACATTTTTTAAAAAACCATATAAATGTGACTAAAAACTACAAATTAGAAGGGTATTCAGAGGCATGTATTGTTCCTAAAGTTAGCTTAAAACAAACAAGTTTAAAATGACTAAACTTAAAACTGATAGTGTGCTCTCCTTTAAGTTTTCAGTACAGCTACCTTGCAAATGCTGTGTTTATTTAGTAAGTTTTGTTGCAAAAACACTTAAACGTTTGATATTATTTCCAAAAAGTGAGACATGATCCTTCCAATTTACAGGATGCCTCATGAAAAAGTAACACTTACCAGAATTCCACTCACGAGTGCCATTTCAAACACCGTGGGTCCCAGATTAAATACTAAAGCACTCAGCACAAAGCTGATGCCCCTTGTTCCCCTGTCAATAGCTTTTGACAGAGCTCCTGTTTGCCTGTCCAGGTGGAAACCCAAATCCAAGTTATGCAGATGGAGAAAGACATTCTTTGCTATCCTTCTGATAGAATTTTGGGCCACTTTCCCAAATACTGCATTTCTAGCTTCATTAAATAAGGCAGCCGCAGCTCTTGACACACCATCTGAAGAAGGATAATAAAAGAACATTTTTTAAAGTCACTTATTTTACTCAACTCCAAAACTGCCTTGATAAAGAAATATGACAGAAGATGTTGTTCCTCCCCTATATACGACAGCTTTCATGCTAAGGGTAAATCATAGCATTTATTGCTCCAAGATTTCATGTACTTTTGGGGTTTATTCATTTTTAATGTGGCTGTTTGTATAAATGTACTGGGGTGGGTCAACTTGTTAAAGGAGGATTCATTATTGGAAATAATTTCTATAAGCACCATTTTTTTCAGAACTGGGGTAACAGAACTAAGGCCACAGAAGGCTGGATATCAACAAAACTAGGAGAATATAATATTAGAATAACCATCTCCAATGCTTCGCAGCTAAAAAGGTCATGAGCTCTAATATTCCAAAACCTTACTGAGGAAAGTCAACACCTGTCGACAGATTAAGGAATCACACTTACAGCCAATCAGAACAGCTGTTGCCATGGTTGCAACTGTATGTGGTGCATCACTCAGGTTCAGCATGTTTCCAGACATCTGGTTGAGGTTGTCTACTGCATATTTAAACATGAAGGGAACCACTATATTCATGCCCTAAAAGCATAAAAACAGCAATTACCTAGGATGTGCTAAAATGTTTATTTATAAAGTATACATATTTCCCTTGAATTAACTACAACTATTGCATTTCGTTATTAACCACTTAGTGCCAGTAGGATGGCTCTCCTGGTTTCAAAAATAATATTCTCCGCATTAGGAAGTTTGACCTTCCAAGACAGAAGGATTACTTTATGCATCCCACTGGCTCCTTTTAAATATCAGCTTTCATCCTAACTAAATGGTTTACTATAAAAACACTTGAATTCATTATGAAGACTCATTCAAACAATGGCAAAACAGAGACTATAAAGTATCAAGACTGCACAGTGGAGGGATAGCTCAGTGGTTTGAGCATTAGCCTGCTAAACCCAGGGTTGTGAGTTCAATCCTTGAGGGGGCCATTTAGGGATTTGGGGCAAAAATAAAATAAAATAAAGGATGGTACTTGGTCTGGTCCTGCTTTGAGCAGGGGGTTGGACTAGATGACCTCATGAGGTCACTTCCAAGCCTGATATTCTATTATTAAAGAATTTTTGCTACAAATACTGCAAGATAACACAGTGGAAATGGTCAGTGGAAAGAGCTACTGATAAAAAAAATAGTTAACTCTGGACCAGTTTCTGAGAGATGTTAAACACCTGAAATTCCCACTGACTTCAAACAAAGTTGAGAGGTCGGCCCTTTGTTTTGTCCATCAGTAATATTACTTCTTGTTTATACGGTGCTCTCAATTTTCAAGGTGATTTCAAAGTTTAATCATTTTACTGAGGTTAATCTAATGATTCTCCACAGTAATGCAACATAGTTCCCTTACAATCTACAAATGCATTAGGTAACATGTCACTGTCGTGAAATATTCAAATCATAGCATATATGGTATGTTACTGAATATTCTGTAAGAGGGGGAAAACAATGGAATTTCCTGTACATATAAGAAAGAAAAAGGCTGGTTAAGTTGATAAAGGATTTATCTTCAGAATTTTCACTTGCATACATTAAGAGCTAAAACATGCGAAGATTCTGTAAGGCTTAAGAAAACAAATATCCCAAATCTTGTTAATGTTCCATTATTATACCATTCATTTATACCAACGATAAAGACATTACTGTCAACAGCCTTAATTTTATCTCCGACTGATAAAATTATTCAGGGATTTAAACTGCTTTTAACAATGAAGGTTTCAAACTAAGATATATGAGTTTCTTAGCAACTGAACAGATGTCTTACGACTCAATATCTTTAACACACGCCAGATGTTAAAATACCTTTACAATGAACTGACTTTGCATAGATGCTTTGCAACTAGAAAAAAAAGGCAATGAAAAACAAATTAATCTTACAGGTAGATCACCTATCAACTTTCAGTGTATGTTATATAGTTTGTATCAGGAGAGGTGATAGATAAATAAAGCAGACCAGCCCCTCTTCAGTTACAAAAACTCCAGCTCTCCACTCCAAATCCATAGTACTGTAACAGCATCTGGAGGCCTTAATCCTGATTGGGCTCCATTGTGTTAGGGACTGTACAGACTAACCAGACATCCAAGCAATGAACACTAAAGTTTTCAGTAAAAAGAGATAAATTCGCACTGCAGCACAAGTTTAAGAATAGGTTTTTACAACACAACTAAAAACATCTGACGTTGGAAAAGTTTACAATGATAAAAATTGTTAGCAAAGGGGACGATAGAAGTCTGTCCACTGGAAGAAAAACGGAGTTTTGAAGGTGCCAGTTTTTGATAGGATTCAAGGAAAATTATATCAAGGGATTTCGTATGGGTTATTATTTTTACTTCTAAAAAAGGAACCATAATTTGTTTAAATCTTAACTGTTAAAAAAAACCCAAAATACATCATGATATAGATAACCCAGAAAAGAGAATATCTAGATGCTTTTTATTGGTTAGCTCATAGCAAATTCTGACAGAAGGCCCAATCCTTAATTCCTTGCTCATGATAAGCTTCTTACTCCTAGTGAGGAGTGCAGGACTGGGCACCAAATCCGCAACTCTCACTCCCTTTCCAATGCATCATCAAGAATCTACAACCTATCCTGAAGGACGACCCATCACTCTCACAGATCTTGGAAGACAGGCCAGTCCTTGCTTACAGACAGCCCCCCCAACCTGAACCACACACCACACAACAGAACCACTAACCCAGGAATCTATCCTTGCAACAAAGCCCATTGCCAATTGTGTCCACATATCCATTCAGAGGACACTATCAGAGGCTCGTTCACCGGCACATCTACCAATGTGATATATGCCATCATGTGCCAGCAATGCCCCTCTGCCATGTGCATTAGTCAAACTGGACAGTCTCTACGTAAAAGAATAAATGGACACAAATCAGACATTAAGAGTTATAACATTCAAAAACCAGTTGGAGAACACTTCAATCTCTCTGGTCACTCGACTACAGACCTAAAAGTTGCAATTTTTCAACAAAAAAACTTCAAAAACAGATTCCAATGAGAGACTGCTGAATTGGAATTAGTTTGCAAACTGGATGCAATTAACTTAGGCTTGAATAGAGACTGGGAGCGAATGGGTCATTACACAAAGTAAAACTATTTCCCCATATTTATTCCCCACCCTCCAACATTCCTCAGACGTTCTTGTCAACTGCTGGAAATGGCCCAACTCGATTATCACTACAAAAGGTCCGTTCCCACACACCCCCTCCCGCTGAAGTGATCACTCTGGTTACAGTGTGTGTGGTAACACCCATTATTTCATGTTCTCTATGTATATAAATCTCCCCAATGTATTTTCCACTGAATGCATCCGATCAAGTGAGCTGTAGCTCATGAAAGCTTATGCTCAAATAAATTGTTAGTCTCTAAAGTGCCACAAGTACTCCTTTTCTTTTTCCGAATACAGACTAACACAGCTGCTACTCTGAAACCTCTCCCTTTCCAATAGTTTGCAACTGTGGAATTTTTCATAATAATAAAGATGCAAACCTCAACTTGTATGCAAAAAGCCAATAATATCTCCCAAATGGCTATAGTGACTGACCTCTCCAGTAGCTGGCAGAGAAAGAATAAACAGATCATTGTAGTTAAGATAAACTTCAGATGCACTAAAAAACAAACAAAAAACCAACAACCCTGAAGAACTGGGGATGTGTTAAAAATTTTTGAAGCTTTAAAGTAGAAATATAGTTTTGGAATCCAAATTTCCACACATACCCTTCAGACAAACAGAAAAATATTGTCACTCCCTTTGGAGTTACTTGTCTTGAAACTCAATTTTCTGTAGTATTTAGTTTTTAATAAGGCACATTATTATACCATCTGTGTAACAGTGATGACCACCACTGTAAAATGCAGGTTTTCCTGGGAGACCCTATTCAGTAAAAATGAAAAAAAATTGTAATGTAGATTGCCCTGATTTGCTGCAGATTCTTACAAATCCCTCTGCAAGGATTTTACTTTTCCCTGGGCTACACTGTACGATGTTTTAAAGTACACTTAAAACAATCTCTGCAGTTCTATTTCTAACTAAAACAGTTTATTCCTTATACTGCAGTTCTCAACTTGCACCTGTCAACAGATTAGTATACAATTTTGCATTCTTTCACACTAATGTACAGTGATTCAACCCAAAAGATTGTTTTAATGAAATGTAAAGGTGTGCCTCAGGTTACCATTGTTCTGACTCCCTGAGGGTGAAACTTGAAGAATAAGGCAGCATGGTATTGCATCTCATTCATAATCAACTCAGTCTATATTCACATCACCTTATTTGGGTTTTTTTGTTTTGTTTTAGATCAAGACATTTGTTAATCTCACTGGGGAGAGAGAGAGAGAGAGAGAGAGAGAGAGAAAGAAAAGAGTGTTGGTCATTAAAACAGGTCTTTTCTCAGTGTGGTAAGCCAACATGAGATCATGTTCACATAGCGGGAACTAAATTTCCATCTCTAACATTCTAGACAAACTTATCTACTTCTTTAGTAGCCTAGATTTGCTGGCACAGAATTCAAAAGCTCTAAATGAATCTGGATATTCTGTACCAAAGAAGCCATCTATACCAGATAAACAGATGAGTTAATCTTTATATGTTCTCTGAACTTTTGCATTGCTACAAGTGCCAATGCCCCCTATGGGATCGATTCCTCAGGAAAAAAACTGAAGAGTCTTCCTACAGAATTCTTTTCTTGAATAACTTTCAAATAGTATACTCTTTAGAAACATCTCTTTTTAAAGAGATTGGTTGTTAATTTTATTTTTATAATGCAAAATGTACACACTTCAAGCTTTCACACAATGGTAAAACTAGTGAGAATAATTCTTATTAAAGGATTCAACCCAAGCAGTCATAGAAATCTGTATATTTTTACCACACAAATTTTGAAATAAAAGCTGTGGTCCAAATTCACTGATGATGTAAGCAGGTATGGCTTCAATAAAGTCACCCCTTTTTATACTGCTGCTTAATTGAGCCTGTAAGAATTGTACAATTAAGCACAAGTTTCAGGGTAGCAGTTAATACTCAACTACAAAATTATAAATAAGGTTTAAATGTTTTTAAAATAAGATTGTATTACTTTAAAGGCAACACAGCACCATCTACAGAACAGAAAAGCATACAAAACAGAAGTTTGAGGTTTTGCGGCACTAACATAAACAAATCCAAATTACTTCCTCCTATCCAGTCCCCAGTGCATCCTGTCTTCTCTCTTGATCTTAGATTGTAAGCTCTTTAGGGCAGAAACAGTCACATTTGTGTCTTGTGCATTCCATTGTTCTTTTCTTAATAGATGATGATGATGGGAGAACAACCGAGATCAAGTAACGTGATAAAAACGGTCCAAGGTTAACTCTTCTTTCACATATAAGTCTATGTAACCTAAATAACTGTTTGAACATTGTGTCTAACTTGAAACTTCGATCTAGTTATAAATTAGCTTTAGAGCTGTCTGCAATACCAAAGGGGTCTGTACTATTTGTATATAAAAAGCAGAGCATAGGATACACCACGCCAGA